AAGAGCCATGGAAGACGTTATAGTAATATTTTTACAGGCGGAATAGTTTTTCAAGTCTTGAGTACAACTTTCTCTGTAAAATCAATTGATAATCCCTCGTTTAACAAAATCTTGCATTGTCCTTAACATGAATGTAAAGGGGGCAGAAAGGGGGTATGTTTTAAATTTTGTTGATTTACCGCTTAACCTTCATAAAAATTCTGATATCTAGTTTCTAACTTTAGACTGACTAATCCAAAACTGAACAACAGCAAATATTTGGTTTGTCCGAAGTCAACCAATAAGACAAGCAAAACCAATCTTAGATTTGTAAAGCCCGTTTTAAACTTTCATCCCTTTAAACTGTTCACCACATGGCACCATGGCAATAAAGACAGCAGTTAACGCAAGCCACCGCTGCCCATAAACGCCTCCTGCGCTGCTCCTCCTCGAACGGTTTTTCCTGGCCTCTCCAGCAACAGGTGGTATTACCAGGGGCTCATTTTGCCGTCTTCTGTGAGCAATGAGATTCCACAGCAGTGTGTCTCAAACAGCAGCGAGCCTCGCAGACCATGACGTAATGGTCTAAAACGTGCTATCAGTTGGAGACGGGGCCAAAACACGTGGAGTTGGCTCCTCTCTCCGCTCAGCCCCGGGGCCCCTCTCTATTCTCCTTTTCCTAGTCTCTCTCTCTCTCTCTCTCTCTCTCTCTCTCTCTCTCTCTTTCCCTCACCCCCAGCCCCTCCACCTCCCTTATGCTCCACCGCACTCTCTGTTTATGAGTGCATGAATCGCTCCATTTCACTATACCCAACTGCCAGCCCACTACCAATCCCACAACTGCTTCAATAATAGAAGTCCCCCCCCTCCCTGTGCTTTCATTTCCATGACAACCAACAATGAGGAGGGGGGGGCGAATAGCAGAGGCAGGAAAAAAAACGTGAATGAGAGGGTGGGAGTGCCTTCCCTTGACCTCTGGTTCTATTTGTAAGGAGGGAAATCTCTGCAACAACAGCCGGAGTTTTACTGAGGTTAAACTGACCAGTCAAGAGCAGCAGCTTCAGCAGCGGTCATCATGCAAGACGCCTATATTTAGCTCTTGTTTTATTTTGCTCATCACTTATTAGGCTTTTTTTTTTGGGAAAAAAAAGGGACCTGAGTACAAATTTCATACCTCTAACATGTGAATGTGAGCTGGCATGACAAAATAAAGTTCCTTGAATCCTTAAATCCTTAGGTAGCGAGCTAGAGTATGACCGTATCTTTGTACAGTGACTTTGGAAAAAAGAAAAAAAGAGTTGTTTTACAGGAGAAAGAGGAAATAAAAGTGACAAAACATATTACAAGCTGCTGAAGATGTTCATACTATAGGTGCTAACATTCAGCAATTATAATATAATATTCACTATGTTTGCAAGATTTGCACGACAAGTTAGGTTGCTAATTGTGCTAAAGAGTGCTATACAACAGTACAGTTGAAGCTGATGGGAATGTTGCTGTGCAGGTAACTGGATATAGGACAAAATAAAAGGGTATTACATTACAGTGCCCAGTCAAGATATTTTACTAATAACAGGGAGGGGGAAAAAAGCATATTTTACTTTGCCATTTGCAAGTAGAAAAATATTCAGTATTGACGATGTACTTCGGAAAAAACAAAGTCATTAAATGTCTCTGTCACCTTTGGAAAGGTCTCATTAATACCTAAAAGTCACAAGATCACCCCACTGTGCTAGAAATCATTGATTTGAGAGTGACACAAACACAATGGAGATAAACAAAAGGTGAAAGGTCTTGAGGTCAAGCCCCAGCGGAGCTTTGCGACACACACATACACACACATACACACACATACACACACGTGCTAATGTACACATACAAAGGATTAGTTTGTTTTTAATTCAAGTCCCTAGATTACCGGTAGGATTAATTCTACATCACTTACAACTGGTGCGAGAATATTTCTGTTCAGCTCTAACTGTCCTAGTTGTTCACACGTTTCCAGCGTTGTGTCTGTGCTGCTCTAAGGCGACAGTAGCTCCTTCTCGCAGGCTGTTTGCTGTTATTTCAAGTGATGCAAAGTGGAAGAGAAGCGCTAACACTATTGACCTCCAGATAATTATGCCATTATTTCTTCCTCCCTTTGAGGCTCATAAAGATGACAAAATTCACGTCAAAATCTCCTGAAAAGGACAGATAGCATGGCAGCAGTCAACAGTTTTGTGTCTGTGCCACACACAAAAAAATCCTGAATTTGAAATACTGACACTTCTCACATCTTAATCCACAATTAGATCATGCCATTTCTATCGCGTCAAAATTCCAACACAGTGAAGTGTCATCAACACTCAGGGGAGTGTCAACAATGTAATGAATGTGTTGCTAATCTGCTGCCATGTGATCGTATTGCACATTTTAACTGCACTGTGAAGAAAATGTGTGGTGGGAAGACCTGGTCTGCACACGCATGTGGGACATGAGTGTGGTGAGCACCTGCAGGCATGTAAGCAAATGAGAGCACGCTTTAAACAGACCTTGGTAATAAGAACACAGCAGCCAGCTTGTTAGTGAGCTCTGCTGTTAACGATACACTATAAAACCAATGATGAATTTTTAACTAACATACTCTCGAAGCGATGCTGCACTAAGAAACGCGATTTGCTCTTCACTGCAGGCACTGAAGTATGACTCATTGCTGCGAAGCCATCGCTGCATTTTTAATCAAACCCTGCAAGAAACGGTCAAATTTAGCTCCACCAATGCACCAAGTCTTAAGTTGAGTCCGGGACGGTGGGGTCACCTGTCCCATGGGAGCTGGCAGAGAAGAGGGTGAGCTCAGTAATCCCTGAGGTTCTGGGCCTCCCAGTGAGGCGTCCTCAATCCCCCCAAGAGCCTGCCAAAATCCCCCTGACAGCAGTCCTCATTATTTGCCTATCGCTGGCTTAACTCCACCTCCAGACAGAACAGAGATGCAGGGATTTAGGCATCAGAAGGAAGAACAGAGAAAGACAATACAATCATGATTTCTCTCTTAAATGCAGCAGAGAATATGGGATATGCAGCAAACTAACAAATGCAAGTAGAAATTAAAGTTGTATAACTGATGATGGAAAGAAGATAAACACAAGCTTTTGGACAAAAATTTGATTACTAGGAACAATGAGAAACACTATAGCCTTGACTGTTCCCAATCACCACTATAATTATATCAGTTCTCTTACATTGCCCAGTTAATACTGCCTGTGTGCACCAATACGTCTGATCAAAACTAACAGTTTGCATCCTACTAGCCGGACAATCCTAATGCTATTGTGCTACAAAGCTTATTAGAATAAGACTAAGGGGGATGCACACACATTACATTCAATTATATGTAATGGGAAAAACATTTGAGGTGACAGCTGCTGCCTGCTTTGTACCTATAAGGCACAGTGTGTCAAACATGACAACAGCCACCTTATGTCGGTTTACCTCAAAGAAATATGCACTGAGCCGTCAAATGTCAAGAATATGTACTTTCAATAAAACGTCTGACTGAAGATGACAGTATTTACGATAGAGGAGGAACATTAGCACATATATGGCATGTATTCTTATACTGCTAATCAGCCACATCTGGAAATGTCTGGCGTACTTTTTGAAATTCAAACCAAAAAGAGAACGCTCCTCCGTGTATCTATCATACAGTCATTTATTAACCAAATGACAGGTGAGCAGGGGATCGGAGTGAAGGGACGGGATGGTGGCAAATTGAATTTGGTTGATACCATCTATTAATTTTCTTTCTGACACCATCCAAGGACACGAGAAGAAGATGCCTTACATGATTTATTCATCCATGTTTTTTCAGCATCCTGGAATATTGCTGAGGTAAATCAGAGCTTATGATCATCATTGCATGAGAGGCCTAATCAGTATTAAGGTGGTGAGAGTGGGGGTTTTTTTGTGTTTTTTTTTTTTTTTTTGGATGATGCTGAATGAATAAAGAATGTCACAAATCTATGAACACGGGAGAGAGAAATGTCAGTTTTAAATTATAGTATGAGTTGCTGTTGTTTGTATATGATATGACCTGAAGTGAATTTTAATTGTCAGTGTGCTGCGTGAAGGGTTGAACATTTCGCATACATAAATGCAGGCCTATTCTAAATCAAACTTGCATGTACTGCTTTTGCCTTTTTTGATTAGAATATTATGTATATATATGCTGATGTTTAGGGGTTGCAAGGTGGATTGGTGGTTAGCATCGTTGCCTCACAGCAAGAAGGTCACCAGTTCGCATCCCGGTGAGGACACCCAGGATCTTTCTGTGTGGAGTTTGCATGTTCCCCCCGTGCAGTGTGGGTTCTCTCTGGATTCTCCAGCTTCCTCCCACAAGGTCCAAAAACATGTTGAGGTTAATTAGTGATTCTAAATTGTCCGTAGGTGTGAATGTGAGTGTGCTTGGTTGTCTGTCTCTAAGTGTAGCCCTGTGATAGACTGGTGACCTGTCCAGGGTGTCCCCTGCCTTCACCCTGAGTCAGCTGGGATAGACTCCAGCCCCCCACAACCCCAGTGAGGATTAAGGGGTGTATAGATAATGGATGGATGGATGCTGATATTTAGTGGAATCTATTCTTCCCTCTCAACATGCAAGGTTTCCTATGCCACAACCCCAAGAGCTCATTTTTATCCTATTTTTCCCCCAACGCAGTTTTCACAGTTTCATTTAGATGTTGCTTTGAATTGTTCATATGTGGTCATATGGAGGCTCTGCTTTGCCTTTCTGTGTAGATGAGCAGTTCTATCTGAAAGCGTTCTTGGTGTTTTCTTGTCTTGGTTCTTTACCTTTAATTGCCATTTCTTAATGGCATTCTAACAGTGAAAAGCGCAAGCGTGACGTGCTTAGAAATGCTTTTGTAACCCTCTATGTAGGTGTCAGTTAGCTTCATTTCAGACCCTCCTCAGTGTATGACTCGACCCCAGTAGTTAAGTGTCATCACAATGAAAAGTCAGAAAATTCACCAGCACTAGAAACAGCATCAGCTCACTATTATTCTTTAAGAGAGTTAATTAATGTCTAACAAGTCATTGGAGCTCATTCGCAACATTTGCACAGACTAAAATTAATTTTCAATTATATACATTACGTGATTTAGTTTTGCACAAACCATACAACAGCAGTCATGCAAGTGAGTGTGATGGGGACCTGGAGTCATAACCGGTCTCTAAATATATCATATCCTTGTAACCAGAACCTAGATCAAACATTTTCATTCTTTACATTACTCAGTTACCTAGTTTCTAAAGTTTAAATATATAGTTTAACACTTACACATCGAAGAACTGAGGACTAGATAAAACATCAACAAAAATTATCAACTTGACTCTCCAAAAGTCAAACAGTAGAGCTACACAGCCTCACCAATACAGCACAGAGACACACACACATTCACACACACACAACGCTTACATCACCGTTTCTAAGGAGATGTCAACATCGTGAAACAGATGAGGAAACAGACGTGGAATTTAAAGACTGTTCGCCACTATTCATCACTTCTTCCATGAGACGTCACTCCCTCGAAAAGAAAAAAAAAAACCCTCACCCTGTTACCAACAACCGGCTGTGTGCAGATAACAAGCAAGTCTGAGAGATTAAATGTTCCTGTTTATTATATGAATTAATTTTTAACAGGATGTATCGTACAAATAACCCATGTTTTGTTTTTTTCCCTGAGAATGCAGAGGCATTCATCTTAAAGCAGTATGCTCCTAATAACTTAGATCCTGCTTAGTTTATTGTAAAACACAGTCGAGCAGCGTCATCGGAAAGAAACATTAAAACAGCATTTAAACTTGTTTGTTTGCAGATTCATTAACACTCTTCTCTGCATTCTTTTTGTCGAGGCATAATTGCAGTCCCACTTGCCAAAGCCCTGAGAAAATGTTTAAAAAAAACCCCAAAAAGGTGCTTGTAACTTTAGCAGACTTGTGGATGCTCCCTTATATGCACAAAAACTAGAAGCAGTAGTCAGTATCCTTTTAAAAATACATTCACAGTTCAACAAAGTAGCTAAAAATCCATCCTGCTTTACATCAGCTCCTTTGCAGAGGCACTTATGTTCGCCAGTGCCTCTTTTTCCTCCGGATGACACAGGGCCAGCCTGTCAATAAACCTGTCCTTTGATGTACAACATCAGCAGCCATTAAAGAGGAGTGTCCTCGCAGTCCTCATTGTGTGTGCTGAGCTGGGTCTTTCTGCGAGCTGTGATGGCTGCCCAGATTCGACACAGCATGCCACCTCTGAAACACCAATTTACGAGAGATTTAAACATTTAAATACAAAAGCTACAAAAGAGGTATCTCAAACACCGTTACATCTTTTTGATGTAATTTAAACTAATGATGCAGATTTGATCTTTTCTTCACTACCCACAGGGCAGTCTCGTTCCATGTTTCTGCTCGGACAGATTTAGTGATAGTGATGGGTGGAGGCAGCCTACCTTATTCCACAGTACATCAAGTCATCCCTGGAGGCCATGTAGAGGAGACAGTCCAAGGTGAATCCATGAGAGAGCAACTAGAAAACAGGATTACACAGGTGTGGGTTAAGAGTAGCTGGATGAGTAATACCAAGCAGCCTCAGGGGTGGAAAAAAATGAGGTTGAGCTCCAGCTGAGTTTACCTTATCAATAGTGTCTTGATCCACGGGGACAGACTTGAGCCAGCGTACCAAAGCCTTCAACTCTGGATTAGAGGTTTTCCGTGAAGCCAACTCACCATCTATAAGAGTTTACAGCTATTAGGTTGTGTCTGACTTGGACACAAATTACACACATGGAGTCATCAGTGATGTTAATGTTACACACAACAAAAAGACTTGTTGTGTTTCCACAGCCAGACTGTATAATCATTATCCAAACTTACAAGTCAAGTTTGAGCACATTAGCTGCTGACCTGGCAGCCTACGCCTCTCTCAGAAACCAGTCTGGCAGAAATCCGCCGTCAGCCTGAAGCCGAGGCGTGGTACAGAATGACGGGCACAAGTGTTAAGAAACAGTGATGAGACTCACTGAGAGCATTGATAATCCAAAGAAGGCTTGGTCCCTTGATGAAATACTGATCGTGCTGCAGCTTGTGTGGTTGATTGTCAGACTATAGGCTCCTACAAACTCTCAGAGCATGACTTGTTCGTCAGATCAGATGACTGGCAAACGTCTTTAGTTATAAACAACACCAAAAAATCTTTACTATAATCTATTGGCTGCATTAAATATAATAACTATGGCTATTCATGCAGCACTCCTGAAAACACGCAGTTACAAAGTGCTTCATACACACACAAAACGAATAATAAAGTAAGAGTTATGAACTGCATGACACTCGGAACTGAGCATGATGACGAACCAAAACACAGCTACAAAATGTATAAGGAAAAAGTATGAATATATATATGAATATATGACAAAATGCAACACTACAGCAAGAGATGGATGAACCAAAACAGGGATGGAGGTCTATCAAAAGGTTTGCAATCAAGATGGATTTTGTCATGTGTGTATTTTGTATGTAATCAACAGGATCTTACAATGTATTCTAGACTTTACAGGAAGCCAATGAAAGGACGCAAGAACGGGGATAGTTCTTGTTAATAGCCTAGCAACTGTATTTGAAAACTTTTAGAGCAACTTCACTTGTGAATTACAATCATCTAGATGTGAGAAAATGAAAAGCATTGATTAACATTTCAGGATGTGTAGAAGACAAGATAAATATGCTTTAAGTGGTATTTCTCATCTTAAGAAAACAACTCGATGAGCTTGGTCAAAAGCCATATTCTGATCAGAGATAAGCCAAGAGTCTTAGCAATCAGTTTGATATTTGGGTGAAATGGACCAATAAGCTGATCAACTGCAGGTGCAAAGATAGGTCCAATTAAAAGAATTTCTCTTTCATCAGAGTTTAGGTGGAAAAAACTACGCGAAATCCAATCTTCAGTGGTGGCTAAGCAATCACATATGGAGAGAAGTTGGTTCAAGCTAGCAGGTATTACAAAGAGAAATAGAGTATCATCTGCATAACAGAGCTTTAATATGTTTTAAAGCACCTGAACAAATGACCCAGACAACGCATGTATAATAGGAAGAGGACTGATCCGAGGACTGACCCCTGAGCGACCTCACGAAGCACTGGAACTGGGAAGAACACGTGATTGTTGATGCAAACAATAAAACATCAATTAGACAAATAAGAATGTAACCAGTCGATCCGGTACCAGATATAACTGCCCAGTTGTGCAACCTATTAAGTATTGATGATAATTAACAAAAGAGAATCATGTCAAACTGACTTAGTCTACCTAGGTTTAGTGTTGAAGATGACACTAGAGCAAATAGAATATTCCTGAGCATTAGTTTTAACCTGCTTGAAGTATTGGAAGCTACACGACAATCATTTATATGATAGGTTCAGATTTATTAAGCTTAACTGAATAGCAGATGAGTTACTGGATGGGTGCATTCCAATGTAATGATCTTCTTTAGTACAAAGGTTTCTATTTGTGTTGCCAAATCCTGTATCTACAACCACAGTATCATTACTGCTGTCAACAAGCACAACCAGTACTCACAAAAACATACTCGTGTAAACTACCCAACTCCCTAATAACATCACCATAGAGTCAGTACCTACAGGGATGCAATTAAACTGTGTGGTTAAAGCAACATTACCTTCAGTAACTGCTGCTTTCCTCAGCGCATCTATCTGTTCCTGTTTCTTCTGGACAGTGTTCCTCAGTAGCTCCTGGTACTCTCTCTCTTTTTCACTCAGCTGACTCAGCAGTCTGAAAACAAACAGCCATCACCACTCAGCAGAAATCAGTGCAAGTAAAAATTTGCATTCTTCTCAGTGTACCGCCTAATAGCGAAGCCAGCATTGTGACTATACACATTTTTACACCAAAAAATGCTGGATTTCATTTTAATTATGAGATTATGAAGCTTTGAGAACACAATACATGAAACTGGAGTCTCTCAATATATGAAATAATCATGATAAAGAAAACAGCTACCTCCTGGTCTCTATTCGCAGGTCTCTCAGCTTCTCACTGAGGGGACAGTTGGTGTTAAGGACGAGGTCTGTGGGGGAGTTAGGGCTATCTGGAGGCAGGATCCCATTCATGGGTGTTGGCTGCTGCGTGTCTGCCAGCGCCACCAGGTGGTCGGGGACGAGAGCTACGGGAGTGTCTGGGTCAGCATACTGCTCCTCGGGGGTGCTGTCTTCATTCTCAAACGAGGACTGCAGCTGGAGTTTCAGTTCTGAGAGGCAGAGAGTGGGGTGGCAGGAGTGGTTGGCATACAGGCAAGCAAGCACATTAATAACACAACAGAAACTCGGTGACAAAAAAACAAACTGAAGAGCTGTTTGACAATGTGTCATAGGTGGTAACATGTGGTGTTCAGTTCATTCTTTCCATTAAATCCCAGCTGTTGGACATTAAATTGAATGAAATATATGCCATCTGTACCTGGTAGTAGTACAGTTATGGCATCCTGTACTGCCTGCCTCAGCAGATTATCCAGAGCAAACATCCAGTGAGGTTTCACCTGTTGCTGCCTCAACACCTTCTTCACCTAAGTACAGAGAAAAACGGCTCAATAAGAATGTAAGGAGACTGATTCTGACTCACTATTCATGCACTGTATCTTTAAAAATCTTGCCAAACCAAGATCAGCGTAATCATCAGGAAAATCTGACTTGGCTCGGAGGGTAACTTACTGCATCTTGGAAGCTAAAGAGCACCGCCTGTAGGCTGTTCAGAGGTACTGCAGCCGCAAGCAGCGTCGCTCGTAGGTCCAGCAGGACGCTGGTCAGCTGTTTCCTGTCTGGGGAGCGGATGTTGTCTCCCATGCAGGTAATAAGTGTGGTGATGTGCTCTGCAGTGAGCGATGATCCTTCACCATACTGTTAACAGAGAAAAAAAAAGATGTGAAAATGAGGATATACTTGGTCTTATTTTGGAAGACTTCACTTCTCAATAGTGCAGTTCTTTTTTTTCACATTAGTACACGACACTGATATGTTTCCTTACCAAACACCAAAATGTTTTGGCTCCTCCTTAAGCCTTAAAACATCTTACTTTCATTTTTTAAAACAGAAATCAGAAAACAAGACCTGGACATTATTTCTTTTTCTTTCACTAATACTAGAATTCCATAAAAATAGTGCATACAAGTTGATTTAATGAATGATTGCAAAGGGAAAAAAAAGAAGAAGAAAAAAGGAATAACCATACTGACAGCTGTAATAGTTCTGTGGAAATGTGCTGCTTGATATCAGACATTTACTTTGAAAAACAACTGCCAAACGCAGCGCACAAAGGACAGCCAAAATTCCCTCAGGCTCTAGATTATTAACTTGGAAGCAAACTTCATTTGCAAACTTTGCACTCACTACAGAAAGTCATGCCATGTGGCTGCTGTGTTTCCTGTAGGTTCACATTTCTGGATTCTACAATGCCAGCAGCACAACAGCACAGATTGTGTACTATCAGAGTGAAAGTGCAAAGTTCTTAGTCATAAGGTGAACTTCAAGATATATCTGCACCGCAACTAGTCAACAATTATTTGAGAGCAAATAGTCAGTTTAGGAATTTTAAGGAAAATCCCGTATGCCATGCAGGAAGTGATGCAGGTAACAGCTTTAAACTCTGTTTTCTTTCTGACATGCTGCTGTGACTTTCCTTCACCCACCTGAGGCACAGACTCCCGTATATTTGAGACGACATTACTGATGTAGTCGGTGAGAACTCGGTGCAGTGTCGCTCTCCTTTCGCTGTCCTTTCTCAGCATAAAAAGACCAATGTTCTCCTCTGTTGTGGCCGGACTGCTCAGGTCCGTTGCAGAGTCGTCTTGTATTCTGGACAGCAGGGGGCAGTAAAGAGATTAACCAAACAAGATTAATGAACACAGATTTAAAAAAAAAAAACAAGCAGTGATTATACTGAACTGAAAGTCACAGGAGAAAGAAATTAGGATACGGAACTCAATCATGTATGCTGGATTTACAGGTTATATCACAGGTACTACATGGTAACTGTTGATGTGACCCCCTTCTTTCTTTTTTTTTTTTTTTTACTTAAGACAGGATGTAGGCTTACGTACTGAAACCTCAGTGTGGTTTGTCACTGAAGTAAGATCCTGCAGATCTGGTGCAGAAATAGTGAGGCTTGGCTTTTCTGACCAATAATGCAACTCACGACAAAAAGCTGCTGGTGCTGGGTGGGCTCTCTGGGATTTCATCCGCTCTGGGGATTGACTGGTGCCTCCTCAGGTCCAGAGAACAAGACAGATCAATCGAGCCAGAATAGGAATCAGTGTCCTCAACAAGGATGGAGATGGGCACGGACAAGCTGCGCTGATAATCAGCTGCAAAACGGAGAGATTGGGGTTAGATACAGAATAATATATTGATAGGTGCAAAGAACAAGACAAACAGAGATGTAATAAACAGAATGTGAAAATGATGCAAAGGGGGAAACAACACAGTTATAGAAGATTTCACAATGAGAATGGAAGGTAATTTAGATAAACTAGATGACAACAGTAGATAAGATAAGAAGACCGACATGTGAATTTCAAGTGCGCCAAAGCCTCACCTGTAGAAAGAAAGTCTTTAGACCCTGATTCCTGTTGAGCTTTAGCCTTTTTTCTTGGGGAAGATCTAAGGAAGGTGTCCTTCAGCAGCTCTGTAGCCGAGGCTCTGTCGTCCGGGTTTGGTTCGAAACAGTTCATGATGAAGTCCTTGGCTTCATCTGACATGCACTCTGGAACCTTGGGGTGGATCTTAAACATGCCCACCTTAATGGGATTGTTTAAAGGGTGATGACAGAAAAGGATTTTTAGGGAGATTGCAGTATTTCCAGAGGAAAATGCTTATGCTCTTTGAGAACTTTGCTCTGAGATCGTCATGCTAATGGCTCGCTGTCGCTGCACTGATGTTGCGTCAATGCTTTTGTAATTACAAGTATATGACTAAATTGTAATTATCACTGATAAACTCAGGTTTTTATTGGATTTAATTTAACAAAATGAAACACTGACTATAATGTACATTAAATTTAAAAGTTAACAAATGACCAAAATTAATACAATTAATGCTGTGGGAGTTATCACCAGCTGTACCAAATATAGTGACAATCCATCCAGAAACTGTCTCTCCAAAAGTTCTTATAAGACTTTATTCCACAGGCATGACAAGTTACTTCATAGCTCTACTATTGTCTTCTGTCACCGCCGAAAAAAAAGTTTATATTTGCCAAATTACACAAAATCAACATCTACACAAAACACAACCTTCCCCCCTCTTTACCTTGAACATGGCTGCCTGAGGGCTTCCCAGCTCATGGAAGGGTGTTTTGCCTGTTGCCATTTCTATGATAGTGCACCCCAGGGACCAGATGTCTGCTGGCTTCCCATAACCTCGAGGCCCTTGGTCTATAATCTCCGGCGCCATGTACTGCAGCGTTCCTATTGACAATTCATCATAAGAGCAATTAAATGCAATTATTGCAGATTAAGAATCCAATATATCTTTTTTAGTGTATTTAAAAAGAGACATAAATGTCAGTTGGTCACCAGCAAACGTCTCAGTGCAGGGGTTGATCCCTGCTAACCGCTTCGAGGTTCCAAAGTCAGAGATCTTCAGCACTCCACTGTAGGTGTTGATCAATACATTGTCACCCTGTAGGAGAGACAAAACGAGCATTACTGAGCCATACCCAGCTAAGTGGAAAATATTTTAGAACATAAGACGATTATTTGCCATAAGTGCCAGGGTTCTCTGCTCACCTTAATGTCTCTGTGGACTATCTGATTATCATGAAGGTACTTGAGGCCCTCAAGGATCTGCTTGGTGTAGAAGATGATGGTGGCTTCATTGTCTTTCAGAGGACCCCATTTGGAGCGCAGAAGAGACGACAAACTTCCTAGAAGCAGCAACGCAAAAATTTTACGAGCAGATTACATTTGTTTTTGTAAAAATGTAATCCTTCTATGCACATGAAGACACAGATTTGAACAACATGCTATTTCTCCATTTATTGACAGAGAAGAAGGAAGTTATTTCTCTTTATTTGTAATATTTAAAAAAAGCTATGGATTAGAATTGTTCACATTTCCGATGAAATATTTCCGATGTTTTTCTTTCGATTATGTCATTGTCTAAAAAAAATGTTCTGCAACGAACAGGATGTGTTTGGAGCCGCCCACTTCTTTAAAACTGGCTTCCAGGGAATGTTACACAATCACTCATGCGATTTCACATCTGAACACATGATTTCCTTAACGCTTCATAAAGGCAGGATCACATTATGAAGTCACAATCCCTGAAGAACAACAAGCCAGGAAATGCAGGCTTGAAAGCTGTGACATGGTTTTCCGTATGTATCGGAATTTCCGAGCTGCAAAGACACGACTCCTGTCCTAGTCGTCAGTGATCCAAAGAACAGTTCTTCCTGGTGACCTAATATTACAATGTCAGGGTATAACTATTAGGTTGTAGTTCACACTGAAATAGAATGATGCATTTGTCAGACCAGTTAGATGTATCAGTAATTATTTCTGTGTCAAATTCAAAAGAAAACGCATCAGTAATTGCATAAGCAGATGTGACTACTGAAGAACTTACAGAATAAAAAAATATTACATTACATCAAAAAAGCTTTCTTGCTCCTTTAATATGCAGTATACTGAATTTTAAACACCATCGGCCAGTTCTAGTCAGACACACTTCCAGATAAAAAACGTTTAAAATGATAAGAGTTGGCTAATGTTTACCCTTGATTGACATCAGACGGTATTAGAAGTTTAAATCTTGTGGATTTTTACCTCCCGGTACTTCTTCCATGAAGATCTTGATGAAACCATCCTGACTGACAGAACCCAGGTACTGGACAATATTTCTGTGTTTAAGCCTCTTGTGTAGAGCTATCTCCTCATGGAGGGGCTGGGAGTACCTGGATAACACAAAGGCAGGAAACTGTGACTGTGAAATTGTCCTGATTTTACAGGTCAAGAACACAACTTCCCTTGTGACAGTTACACACACACACACTCATACATAAAGTCACCCTAAATAAACCCAGTGTATTATTGGTCAAAAAAACACAGAAGATTCCTCCCTAAATTGTGTCAACAGTGTATTATAAACTACATCTAAACCGTCATCCATCTATCCAAATGTTCCTAAAAAGCAGTGATCTCTGCCAAATCCCTTCCCGTTAAGGGGATTGTCTAAAGAACATTTGAGAAATAGTGCAGCTTAGAATTCCCTGGGGAAAGATGACTCAGAGCAAAAAAAAAAAAAAGATGTTTCTCATACGTGCTATCCTTCTCAGGGATCTCCTTGATGGCGATGCGTACTTGGTTGCTCAGGTCTCGTCCTGCGTACACAACACCGTACGTCCCTTTACCGAGAACCACCTTGTTGCCGTTCTCGCTGGTCTCATAGACGTACTGCAGAACGAGGTGAAGACATGAGGTGAGATGTCTACAGGATTGTGAGGAATTTCACAAGAGAAAGATAAAATGTGCCAAGAAAGAGGCTTCATTCAGAGATTCCCGACATGGAAACATGAGTCCATCTGTTTACCTAAACAAACACTACAGTAAACACAACTGCGCGTTATGTGGAAAATGTGACATTATCTTACAGGATTGAATCTTTGCTTGAGAGTGTGATTTTACAGAGCAACTCGAGTTCTTTTTTCAACTTGTTGAGGCAAGTGAGACCTAAAATAGAGCATGCACTGCAGCTGAGGAATGAAGGACTGCGACTGACCTCTAGTATTCCCTCAGTTAGATGTTCGAGGTCATGAGCTGTGTCTTCAGCCTGCTGGAGGAGGGAGTTTACCAGCTCGCAGAAACTAGGAAGAAAAGACATTAATGGAGATGAGGACATGTGGGAGTTTAGAGTTTTCCCACTACTAGTTCTTCCTAGTGGATACCTAGCTTGATTATGTTGTTTTTTTCCCCACAACAAGACAGATTAATGCATGTAGCTGTTATGGGATTAACGCTTTTTAGCTGTAGATGATTTAATATAAACAGTCTTAGTTAAAAATGAGAAGCCTGCTACTGCTGCCTGCCAGTTTCTAAAGTGAATACTAGTCTGGGTAGTTCAGAGGTCAGGTCAGTGTCTCGGGCTCTGTCGCTGCCATTCCTGAGTAGTTTTTGTTTTTTGTTCTGCTGGGAGAGACCTATGGACATTGCCATAAGGAGTGTGCTTAGTCTGGAACTGTGTTTAGGTGGGTGGAACATATACATGAAGTAACATCCACATAAATTCTAGTAGTTTAGTCGTAGCAACTGGACTTGTTTGAGTTCCTTGAAGATGTTTCAGCTCTCATCCACTACTAGTTGGGAGTTCCAGATACTTATATTCTTTAGGAGGCATTAATTGAAACCTCCACGTCGAAAGGAGCCAGCTGAGGTGGCTCGGGCATCTTTTTCGGATGCCTTCTGGACGCCTCCCTGGGGAGGTGTTCTGGGCGCATCCCACCAGGAGGAGGTCTCAGGGACGACCCAGGACTCGTGGAGAACACCTAGGGGTCCACCCCGGAAGAGCTGGAGGAGGTGTGTGCAGATAGGGAAGTCTGGGCGGCTCTGCTAAGGCTGCTGCCGCTGCGACCCGACCCCAGATAAGGGGGAAAAGATGGATGGATGGATGGATAGATGGATGGATGGATGGATGGATGGATAATTGAAACCTCTTCAAGAAACTCAAGCAAGTCCAGTTGCTTTGACTAAACTACAAGAATATCCATGACCTCGATGACTGAGAATCTTCACGAACAGATGTTTTTACCCAAGGTTTCCCAGCAGAGCATTGTGAGAACTCTCATTTCTTGTCACCACTTGTCCCTTAACACTTTCATGTTACACTTTTTTTTTCCTCATGTGTGTTTTGCTTTAATTGAACCATGCTAGTGTAGCATGGCAGCACATACTATCCCAAGTTCATTTCTGTTAATATGTTACAGTTTACATCCATCACATGGGAGATTAAAGAAAAACACATAATTACTTTCAGCTATCATTTATTAAGTTCAGGTTAAATGAGGTTTAATTGCTTGTTCCTTTGTTCCGACCCACCATGCAGGATTAGTGTCTGGGAGGAGGCCGGGAGAGCACTTCCTGAATTTATGGTATTGGTAATGTCAGACTGGGATCACTGGGTCAGACCAAGTAGAGGTTTTTGTTCTTTTTCGATAAACGCATCTTTTGTATTAAAAGGCATCCATTAGTATTGACTGTATATGTATAGTTTTCAGGGAGATGTGCAGAAATGCCTACGAGTTTGGATGACGTTTGCAGATTTGGTTTCAAAGTTATAGAAGAGTCACAACGCTGGACGATGGTAGAGCTGAAGTGAGCAAGAGGTGAATTGAGCACCATATATAAGGAGCAGAGATTTAGCTTCCTCAGGAGAATGAGGTGAGGCTGTGCTGCCAAAACGTGATATTACTTTTCCCAGTAAATTATTTTTGTATTGTTTTGTCATTTTAAGTCTCACACGTAAAATAAAATCTTCACATTTTTGCACACAAGAACTCTGAGTCTGTCTGTCCACCACCTTCCTTGACCTTGTTGGCCAGACTATTCTACACATTGCATCTTAACGAAATGATCATGAGTGACACTTCACTTGTCAGTGGCTTTAATGCTGAGGATGATCAGTGTATATTGGTCTTTACTAATAAAATACTACTGAGGAGAGATAAAGATTTCTAAGAAATTACTCAGGAAACCCGTATATTTTTCTGACCACGAACCTGGTCAGGAAAATCCCGGTTGTGTATACATCATTTTTGTTTGTTTACAAGACAATTGCACAGTTTGCCTTGAAGGAATCTGTCAGTGGAAAACTACAAAAAGCATTTCTTAGCGACTAACTATGGTGAGCATGTAAGCAGGCAGGTGGTTTCAGTTTTACTTCCATTTATTTGGAAATACTTCAGATGAAGACAGTCCTGAAAAAGCAGCAGGATGTTGTGTTTGAAAAAAAAGTCAATCACTGAGCAATGCTTTGAGCACAACAACAAACAAAACTGAGTTCACTCACATTATACTAAGATGGCAGCAGAGGTTACAGCAGTTTACAGACCAATCTATCTGTTGTGCTGCATGGCAGTGGAGGCTAGACAGACTTCTGTTTTTTCTTTACTATTATTTGGGTCAAGTGGCTCTTGAAGCAAGAGTGAAAAAAAAAATCTGCCCTGAGGGGATTTTCAAGAGGGCAATAAAGGAAATATGACTCAGAGTAATTACATCACCATTAGTCTGGAAAAGCTGGTTTGCCCGTTTGTCTGTTGACATTGTATTATCTTCCCGCGCCCTGCACTGACGGTCTGTTTATCTTTATCTGGACAGTCAGTGGGTCAGGGAGCACGTCATTCCACGACCACACCGCCACACATACGCACTTTCTAGCTGTATCTTTGTAAATCTATTGGTCACTCACCCTTTACAATGAATCTCAGAAGGGAAGCAGAGCTGGAAGTCATCTGAGTTGTAGTGGACGTAGAGGAAGCAGCTCCGCTCATCAATCTTTGAAGCACTTCAGCGAGAAATAAACAAATACAGAATACAGAGTTATTCGAAAAGTCAAAGCTCTACTGTATTTGTTTGGATAACCTGTATGCAAATGGAATTCTGCTGAACTCAAAAGACGCTGATGCAGTCGGCACACAGCCTATACCTGGTAACCCCATCCTGTTCTATTGAAGCAATGGCTAATGTTTGATTTTTAGAGGACACTTTGGGGAAACAAACCAGGAGAGAATTCATTAATTCAGTAAAGCTGATGAAGAGTCTGCTCCCATACAAAAAGGGGCTTTTCATCTTCCCACAGTGATATTACAGTCTGATGAAATTGTTTGCTCTTTTAAAGCTGCTCAGCACCTGATGGTTTTGGGTATTTGCTAAAAACTGCTCAACTGGCAAATTGGCAGACAAGACAAGGCTAAAGTACACAGTGACACTGATGAGTAGGCACAAGGGAATAAACAGAAAGCACAGAAACAACAAAGAAGCAAAGCATTTAACTGTATTGACATAACAGAAATCTGACAGTCTGCCAAGGTTCCCCAGACAACCCGTATGTTTTGAGTCCTCTGGCTTTGCTGTAGGCTCGGACACACCCAGAACTGAGAAGAGATGTTTGCACATGCTGTACTCCACGTTACCTCACTCCCCGAATTGCGGACGCTGGGAAAGTCCACTGGTGTAAGCCTTTCTGTGGAGTCAAGCATAAACTTAAAACACACAATACTTCCAATACAGATGGTCTTATACATGACAAACCAGCTACAATTCACCTACATAATACATAAGAACGTTAACAGGCCCTGTGGCAGAGGGAAAGTCACTTTTTTAACAAACAGTGACACTCAAAAAGGACGCTCCCCAGTTAAAACATTCACTGGGCCGTAAATCAATTACAGAAAAACTGGTTGTTCCTTTCATCGTGCAATATGTTTTACATTCTGTCGATATGGCATGTACAAACACACAGATACATTTAGATCAGAGAGCGTCCAGGAGTTGGAGGACCCACATACCTTTAAGGTTGTGACGTGTTTTAACTGGACAGTGCGACTTTCATCTTCCTCGCTAACACAGACAATAGCTGGTTGGAGGACTTTGCTGGGTTCCAGAACGAGTACCTGTGAAAAAGCGATGCACAACTCTAATCTCACCTATAACAGCATTTTTGTAATATTCACATTCTATTTTTAAATGTGGAGGGATGTACTGCTGCAGTGTGGTTAACCTTACGATCCAAAAAAGCAGAAGCGGTTCTTGTTTTCTTGCTAAAGTATTTGGTTAACTGTTATGGTCAGTAATCTGTGTTGTCTTACTGGGCAGCGGTCTGTTGAGATGGTGGGTTTACAGGTCTGCAAAAGCAGCTCCATCCAGAAGTCCCCTATATCTTGTTTTGGAGATCTCACCTCCGGCAGCTTGGCAAACTGACGGTACAGTATGTAGGTCTCCATAATGGATGCCACAAACCTAAAACAAACACATGGAAATTATAGTCCACATAAAATGAATATGAGACACGTATGCATCCACTCTAAACACATTTTAATCCACATGATTTTTTAATCAGAGTATTTAAATTAAACTAATGCATCCTAGTAACTGAATCTTGATGATTATTAAACACTTGGGTGTGCGTGGCAACCACTTATCAAGAGTGGATCCTCAAGTCTCACCAAATAGGGGCCTTGAGTCTGTAGAGCTTCTCAGAGGCCTCAATGACTTTTCTGTGTTCGCTAGCGAGGATGTTTGCACCGAGGTAGAATCCCACATCCCAGTAGTCCTTCATCTTCTCCAAACTACCCTTTCTCCCAAGCAGGGTGCTTAGAGTCACACCTAGACGTCAACACAATAACAACTTGTTCACACATCAACAGACCTGTGGAATGACTAACAGCTCATTTATCATGATCGTCTTCCAGGGTAGTGAGATGGAGCAGGAACAAAGCAACATAATGTTATTATGAGCTCATATACTGTGCGCATTACTGACACAAAATCTGCCAACATGAACGGAACATTACACTGACTCTAATGGATAAATCTATTCTAAGGACAAATACGGGCTGAAGTGCAGCTCAATTGTGATATATAGAAATGCACACGTACATGCATTAGCTTTAAAAGCTTGACTCACGTGAAATAAGCTCTAAAACACTTAAATTTCTATATCAGGGACACTTGAAATGTCACCAAATGTCATCTAAGAATCAGGACTGTGCGGCACAGCTTAACAAAGTTTTAAGGTTTACACCCCTACAAGGTAAAATGTAATGTGTAAGTAATATAATAAATCTGGAGACAGTAAATAAGCTTGCTCTAAGATTATTCAAGCAGGGTTTTTTTTTTAAATAAATTCTCTTTCCGGCACAAAAAGGAAAAGCACCTATTTTACGCAGTTCAATAGAAGTCTCAAATTCATGGCCAGCTGCCATCAAGAGGACCACGTTGTTGATGCCTGAGTGAAGGGTTGGCTCTGTCTCAAAAGCTTTTCCATACCTGAAAAATAATGTAATAAAATGAGTGATGTCAGATATGGAGACTAAAGTACGTCTCCAAAGTAACATAACATAAAGTGCAAAAATACATTAGCAGCCACAGTCACAAAAACAGCTAACTCTTTAATTGGGTCTAGGTTTGCATGAGCAAACACACAACATGTTGTACCAGTAGCAGGCCTGGTCTCTGCTGCGCTGGTCAGTGAAGCCTGAGGCCATGAAGATGTCTTTGTAGATCCGTCCACACAGGCAGTAGACATCTGATGCCACCTTGTTCCCCGACTCTACAATTGGCAGAATTAATTCCAAAGCCTTTGCGCGATCTCCAGGGTGATTCCTCCTAGCAGGGGGAAATGTGATAATGTCAACCATGGTGCAGCTTTGACAAAGTCCCCATACCTTGTATACATACAAAGCAAATACAAGCTACATGCTGAGAATTGTACAAAAACAAGAAAACAGTTTATAATCGTTTAATTATGTTCGCGGAATTATTCTAAGTAAATCCAGATGCAACAGCAGTTGAGTTGGTACCTGTTTAGAGCAAATATATAGTGAAACTTGATATTCTGATGTCTTGCTACCAGGCACATTGGCAGGTTGTTTAGAGTCTCCACCAGTTTGATCGCGGCGTCATAGTCCTGGCAAAAGAAGGGTGCAGAAACATAAGGTATTGACGTGAAATACTTTATCATATTGCAATATTTATTAACAATATTAATCTAAACTTTGATAGTCATCTCTGTTAATAGCTACTCCTATATGGAAAACTGGATCTTGAATGTTTATCCATCATTATTCTTCAATAGGGGTGGGAATCACAGAGTAACCTACGATACTATAATTTCCCGACTATAACATGTTTATATAACAGCTTCACAATCCAGTGTTCAGCACTACTGGATACATTGCAAGAAACTCATCTATGATACATCATATCTGTGTAACTGAAGGAGGAAAAAAAGGCAAAAAACAGAAATTATTTATTTATGTACTGCATTATGACGACAGTCTATGTGTGTATTATTATTACTGGATTGTATTAATGTCAGTTTAATCATTTCTCTGATTTGCTTTCTTCTGCTGTTTGCACTGTCTGTCATTTTATCCTTGTGAATTTCTCCTTCACTGCACAAGCAGTTATGAAGGAGTGACTGATAAATCCATCTGTTTATGTGAATTTATTTACAGTGCCTACATGGTTTAGTGAAAGTATGAATGTGTGGCACCAGTGTAAAGATAATCTACCACATAAGGAAGTGTGCAGTATATGATATTTTGTCCCACCCCCACACTTAAAGGCACATAAACTGATACAACAGTAGTTTCTCAGATCTTCTACACACTTCATGCATGGGTATTTACTACACACAGAGATGTCTAAATACATACCTGTATGTCCCTGTAGGATAACAACAGGTTCATGACTATATCAGGGGTGAGCAGCTCTACACTGTCCAAACGTTTCTGGATACGACTCAACTCCTCACTCAGGGCATGGCCGCTGAACCTCTCGCGTGCCATGCGAATCTCATGCCTGATTGACTCGCGGAAGTATTCACTGTCAGCAAAAAGACGAGAGGAGGCACAACATTGCACAATTTCTTAGCCTTCAATAAATCTGCCAAGTGAAGTTGCAGGGGTGGAAAAAATGGTTTGCGGTTTGCCTCACAACCATGTGCATGTATGAACTGAGATGTTACCGACAGAGCCCTGCAGTTTGTGCCTGACCTGGACTGAATGTGCACATTGTTCAGCAGATGCACCAGTCTCTCCACCAGCGGCGTAAGGAGGGGCTCCAGCTGGAAACTAGGCTGCATCAGCTCTTTGATACAAGTCATCATTGTGGCATCGCAGGCAAACACTTTGCCCTGAGGTGACACTACGTAAGGGATGAAGGTGTAGCTGCCACACTGCTCCTGAAAGAAGACAATGCATGCATCACACGTGGGCAACTTGCAGGGCCGAGATCTTGCCTCAGTGGACCTGAAGCGTCATTTTCTGACAGTCAAAGCATTTTTGGTTTAAAGTGGTGAATAAGTCATTTAACATTTAATTCAACCATCGTTTATAGATATATAATACCTGTTGTCCCTTCATCAATTGTCCTACAGAGCATTTTGATTACTATGACAAGTATATTTTAAACTTATATACTCATATTTGTGAATATTTACTGCTTTTCTCAGTTCACTGTCATTGGAAATGTAATATCTTTGCATTATGGATGTTTGGCAGGACAAAGAAAGATTTCTGATGACGTCACCTTTGTTCTCAGAAATTGTACTGCACTTTCTGTCGTATTATAGAACAAACTATTCATCAGATGCGTATTGAACTGTTCTAGAATAGGAGCTTCATAGCAGACTCATCAATAATGAAAATATTCATTGGTTGCAGCCATGGCTGACTTAACATGCTTAGAAGGCCACAACAGATAGCCAGTGTCTATTGACTGTCTCCATTTCTCTCACTCCTCTTAAGTGCACAGTAAAATACACCTTAGTGCTATTTTAGGGACTCTTGGGGTCTACTGGGACCAGGGGTGTTGCACACTGGGTAATCTAATCTGGGCTGCAGCCGTAGTTTCACTATCACCACATCAACACACAGGAGCACGTGTTACCTTGACCGCCTGTAGATCACTATCTTGTTTGTAACAGTAGAGAATTATATTATTGGTCATGCTGAAACTTTCTCTGACTCCGAGGTGGTAGAAAAGAGAAGGCTGGCAGAAAGTGTCACTCATCTCCACCACTGCTACATCTGTGGGGGGGAAATTCAAAAGGGCGGGTGAGTTTGCGTAATTGGCGTAACACTGCGCGTATGTGTCATCCAAATTACCCTCCAGTCAGCATGCCTGCACTTGCCTGCATTGTAGAAACTATCCAGGATGTCTGTGGTTCCCAGTGATATTCTCTCAAAAGAAATGGTTTTAAAAGCAGCGTGCGCGTCCGCACAGGCTTCCTTTAGACATTTTAGCGACAAGTTCTCTTCAGTCTGCGGCACCGACGCGTCCTCGTTGACAATGTAAGCCACGGACACCGCTCTGCTCCGACTCCGTGGAGAGACGATCGGTTTACCCGAGCCGCTGCTGGCACTCAGCTCTATCGCCAGAGAGTCCTGCCACAAACTCCCAGCTGACACCCAGACTGGATCCTTCCTCTTCAGCTCTCGCAGGCTCATCCGCCTGCGCTCGGACGTGTACATGTTGTCTTTATTCCGCAGCTGGAGCTCAATGCATGTCGCAGGTCCGGGAAAGTTCCATTAAGAGGACGCACGGTTGCTTATTCTTGTAATTCCCCAGGTGCGTCTCCACCTCCGCTCGTATGACATGTCCACTAACATTCCCAGTACTCCTCTCCACTCGGCCCGCCCTCCTCTCCTCCCAGCTCCGCTCCGCCCGCTGGCACTTTGAAACTGTTTTCCTCGCAGCCTCGACTCTCGCATGACCTCTGCTGTGAAGTTACGACTCAAGATTCTTCGCATTTCTCAACAGGCTTTGAGTGTAACACCAGTTGAGCATTTCTCCTTTCTAACCGTGTTTTCTTGCACAGAATCTTTACTAAACTATTAAAAACAAAAAGTAGACATGAAGAAAATAAGATCTGTAAGTGGCTCTTAAAGAATTATGACACAAAGTGCTTCTTAATGTCTGATAATCTGTCACACACAAAAAAAATCCAGAAACTACACAAGGGAGTTGTCTACAATGAAACTCTTCAGACAATCATTTTTGTTCCTTTTTTATTTACAGTACAAAAATGGAAATTTACTACCAATGCTTCTGAACGATAAAAATAAAAGGAGAAGTCTTTAAATACACACTGTAGTGGTGCAAAGAAACACACAACAGCATTAATTTGTACATTTTCCCTGCACTACAAAGCAACGAAAAAAAAGGCCATATGCTCAAAAGTTGTATGTCTGTAATGTCGACTCTGACAATAAGCAAAGCTTAACAAACATGAATCTAGAGCTCACATTCCAATAATGTAATGTACACTTACATATATAGCATGGACATAGACGATAAGCTATGTTTTGTACTCAGTGCTGTGACCCCGAAAAATAGATAACTATCTATTGATTAGCAAGATATCCTTCACCTGGCACTGAGCACTTATTTGTTGTGAGCGCTGTCGGATGTAAGATCAGTCATGCATCACAAACACATTACACAACAACCTGAGAATAGGAAGTCTGCTTTGAGACAGTTGTGGCAGGTTTAAGCAAGAGTTTGTTAATTACAGAATATACACTACAAAACAATCTTGTTCCATTTTTGTAATTAAATCCCCTATATATCTGTTTGATTTATTGCTCCATTCCCTGCAAAAATACGCTCTTTGTTTTGTTGACACTGATGATGATGATGATGATGATGATGTTATCCAACCTGAAAGAATTACGCCAACATTTGGGATCGGATTACTCGTCAAGGCCCTCGTCTTCCTCTTCCTGCTTGGCATCCACCTCGCTTGTGTCTGAGAACTCGTGCAGGAGGACGTACTCGCGGCTGCTGAAGCCAAACTTGAGAACATCCTTTTCTTTGAGCTCGTAGTAGCGCTGGGCCTCGATACGCTGGTTGTTCAGGTAGGTGCCATTGCCGGAACCAAGGTCGATAATGTAAGGCCTTACCCTGCGGCCCGGGGTACCATCTTTCCGTGTAAACTCCACCAGTCTGCAGAAAGACAATCAGGAAAAATAGACCGGTTTTATTAGCACAGCAACAGAACAACTGAAGTTTAAGACAACACACTGGCCAGGAAAATAAATTACTGTGGTTTAATGTTTGTTAAGATTATACTGAAGTTATCAGTGTGTCTAACACGCATCATAGCGGAAAACATTTTAGCTGATGACTAATATTCCTACCTATACTGGAATACTGCATGTTGCTTGGAGCAGGATGGGTGGTCAATGGGGATATCAGCAATTTTTCTCTGCCGCCCCAACAAATAGGCACTCTGTCTGTGAATGTACATGACTGGAAGGGGCTCATCATTCTTGAAAGGGTACAGTCGCCATCTGCGCTTTGGAATGCGAGCCTCCGGTGGTTCGTTGTACTTGATCACCACTCCCCGGAATGTGTTGGTGTCTTCTGTCAGTGCCCCTGACAGTTCAAAGTTGGGCTTCTCTTTGTCAGGAGGAGGAGCATTTGTGTCACTGCTCCCACCTTCAGATTGTCCAAAATCATCTTCTTGGTTCTCTTCACGCCGCTGACGATTTTCCCTGCGTCGTTCATCATGCTGCTGTCGCTCAGCTTGTTGGGATGCAAGTGCGCTGCGTTCCCGATGTCTCTCTCCGCCGCGGTCTCTCTCCCGTGGCCTGTCTGATTCCCACCTGCTCCGTCTCTCCTCTGGTTGGTCATTTCTTCTCCTCCGCTCATCACTTGCCCTGTGTTCATCCCGTTCCTGTGACATATTTGGAACAAAAAGGCATTTAAAGAAAGAAGATCCAGAACAAACTTACACAGTTACAGCTTTGAACAGTCTTTATCATCACAGAGGTTATATAATCTCTTACATTCAGTCTGACTCCCAAAATTAAAAATGGCTACCGCTGTGTGTGGCATATTCTTTATGACACATGCAACTGATAAATGGTTCATTACTGTAGTCACAGTAACAACTACAACATACCATTACAATACACAATTTTAAACTGGTAATCATGTGACCAGCATCGTTGCAAATAATGACCACTTCTATGTAGCTTGTGCAATCTATTTGTGTTTTGTCTCTGCTCTGCTTGCTTGAACAACTAACTGTGGCCAAGTGTAGTCTACACATTGCAGGCATAGACTGTCTCTGACAAAAGTAGAAAAACTAAATTTAGAAAACTGTAATTTTTAAACTTGCTACTACTGATTTTTCAGCATTAGTTGCTGATATCCATTGCAATGCCAGTGTACCAAGTGACGTACAGCATCCGTCCGTTGTTCACAAGTGACATAATAACATAAGAAACTGCTGTACGTGGCATTTGTCATAAATGCCAGGTGTCTACACGTTTTGGCAGAATATCTTAGTAGAGAATTATATAATGTTTTGCCACTGAAGGAATCGTGGGTTATCAACGGTCATTTTTCCATTATGTTGAGTCTTAGAAGGCTGCATTGCTTCTCAGTAATTTAACACCTAATCACCCGCTTTATTTTGGTATCACCACCACGATGAGGACTTCGACTCCTTCTGTTTCTCGGAGATCTGCTGCTTCGTCTAGCGGGAGAGGTCTCCCTTCTACCTGGTGAGCGGTCCCTCGTCCTGGCAGGTGACCTACGTGAAGAACGTAACAGACTCTGTAACGACGATACATGGCACATTTCTTTCAGCTTCCGTTAAGATGCGAACAATGTTTAAAGACAACCAACAAAACAACTATTTTAATCTGACTCGTAAAGACTGGCAGGCTAACGCGTGTGGGGCTGGCTGTCAAGTTAAATAACACAAAATACGTGTCAAAAGTGAAGCAACATGGTGACTGTATTGTATATACCTGCTCGTTCTTCTCCGTTGTGGACTGGAGTTGCCGGTGGATCTCGACCTCGAGCGGCGTGATCTCTGTGGCCTACCAGGGCTCAGTTGCTCCTGCTTTACCTTAACTTCGGGTTCCCGCTCCGGAGATTCCCTTTTCCTGTGTCGCTTTTCTTTGGCCATTCCCAAACAATTATACCAATTCGACCGTTATGTGACTAAACATACATCGCCACCCACACCAAAGCAAATACAAACAAAAGCCTCACAATCTAACAAACTTCGACTGTTATGTTAAGATCAAGCACTTCCGCTTCCTGCGGTTCGCCGAGAATTTATCTCGGCGTGGTCGCTGTCCACGTTGCACTTTGGTTCCGCCGCGACTACTTATGTCATTAATTGTTTATTAAACAAAACCGAGACTGCTTAAAGTAAAGAGAAGTCGGATAGAATTTGCTTCATCATTTTATTTTTTTGTTTTTAATCATACTTTGGTCCTAAAACACACGAGGCGCGTTTTAAAAGCGTTACAAGTGGAAAAAGGAGCGTTTATGTAAAATTGAAACCTAGCAGCTCTTCGGCTGTTTTCGTTTGTTGTGCTCATTAGTAGCAACACTGAAACAGTGCAAATATAGCGAACATTTGTGAACGTAACCGCTAATTTCCCTCGGATAGATAAGAATGAAACGCCCGAACGCTGTTGCCATGACAACACAAACAGAGCTCGAACTGTCAGTAGCGACATTTTGGAAACCAAAATACTTCTAGTTGATAGTTTTAGTTAATTTCTTTCTTTGTCAAACAATGATTTCACCAGCCGACTCTCTCCTGAAATATGAGAATCCAGTTTTGGTCAGAGAAAGCAGTGACACAAAATCCCCAAAGGTGAGTTTACCAAATAAGTTAGCAGCCGCGTTTAGTTATTGCTAGAGTACGCGATGAATGTAACATAACATACTTTAAGCGAATGCAAAATTTGTAAAAATCTTCGACACATAGTGAATTGTCTTTATTCAGTAACATTTAGACACAGGTCTATGTGTAAGGGTCTGAAAAAGTGTAGTTCAGACGATTTTCACTTATTCTTTTTTTCTTTTTCTTTGATTGCGGTGGTAAATGTAAATTCTTAATAATACACAACTGCAAAACAGAGAAAAACGTACTTTCTTTGTGTGTCACCACGCTCATGTGTATGGAAAAGATCTCATTTGGATCATTTGTATCCTGTTAACTAATGAGTGGGCTTGTAAATGTAAAAAAACAACAAAATAAAACGGTTATAAGATAGTTTCATAATAAGGTGTCAGCGATTGCAAAATATACTTTAATGAGGACACATCATATTAAATACAAGCAATACATAGTGTGTCATAGAAAAGACTTTTCCCTACAGGGACGTCCATTGAGAGTGAGCCCTCAGCCTGCTGACTCTGCACCTGTTCCACCACCTCCTAAACCAAAAGCAGGCTCTTCTGAGGCCATCCAGCAACAAAACCAGCAGATCCTGAATGACATTCTTCCACCCAGGTATAGTTCACCACATCTGCTTCACAGTACACAGCAAAAGTTAGTACGCTGCTGTGCAACGTCACCTAATTATCAAACGATTCGTAATTGCATCAATAAAATGTATGATTTCGAAGATGACAAGCAGAGTATTTCTTTTTAGAAACAATCGCAAACATGCTTTAGAAAGGCTTTACTGAAAATACAGGCCACAAAATAAAAACTCAGTGCAACAAAAGGGAATGCACCTGTGATCACTGGCACGCAACTTAGAAAACCTATCTGCATGTCCGCATCTTGGCTCCACGTTTAAAACAATTGCCAGATGAATCGAAAAATCTGATTGTGAGACTTCAAAAAGATGGAAAAGGATTTAGGGAGGTTGATGGACATATACAAATCAACTGAAACACAATAACAGCAATAAGCAAAAGGTATACAACAGCCATTAGTACCACTCATCAGAGCCTCAGTGGCCATCCTTTGAAAATGCCGTGCAAGGTAAGAAGCTAATATAACTTAAGTCAGGAACAAGACTAGACAGGGGCTATCAGTGAAAATCTTTCCTTGACAGCTCCTACAGTGTGAAGGACGGTTTATAATTTCAACCTCATGGCATCCAAGAAAAACAATGTTGCTTGTTGTTTGGTACAAACATGCCAGGTCAAACTGTGCACACAAGAGTTTCTAAAGAAGGGAAAAAGGCAAGATTATGACCTAAGTATGTCACCTGACTTAAATCCACCCATCCATCCTTTATCTATACACCGCTTAATCCTCACTAGGGTCACAAGGGGGCTGGAGCCAATCCCAGCTGACTCAGGGTGAAGGCAGGGGACACCCTGGACAGGTCACCAGTCTATCACAGGGCTACACTTAGAGACAGACAACCAAACACACTCACATTCACACCTACGGACAATTTAGAATCACCAATTAACCTCAACATGTTTTTGGACCTTGTGGGAGGAAGCCGGAGAACCCGGAGAGAACCCACGCTGCACGGGGAGAACATGCAAACTCCACGCAGAAAGATCCTGGGTGTCTTCGCCGGGACGCGAACCAGCGACCCTCTAGCTGCGAGGCAACAATGCTAACCACTGCACCACCTTGCAGCCCTGACTAAAATCCAATAGAACACCTTTGGGTTATTTTAAAAAGAAAGATAGAGCAAAACAATCCCTCCAGAAAAAAAACAAAACGCTGAGAAAAATTCTATCTTAAGGATGGCAGAACATCTTTCTAGAAACTGATGCTAGACCAAATATCTTCCATGTTGAGAAAGATTGTGGTTGTCATTAAAAAAGGTTTCCATATGAAATACTGAGAGGAAAAAAAAACAAAAATCAGATTTAAATCTCTATAATCACGGGGGGAGTGACTTTTGTTGCATTGAGTTCTAACCGTGGGGTCTGTATTTCCATACAGTAAATCTAAAATATTACCTTTCAATTTTGCATAACAGCATATCCTTCAGTTCCCAATTCAGTGATATTTCAGGGGTGCACTTACCGCTGTTATACACTGTATATTGTTCAACAAGTTCATACTTTCAAACTTGTGCCATTGCAGGGAATGGATAGAGGGAAACCAACTCTGGGTGCAGCAAGTGTCCAGTGTACCTTGTACCAGAGCAGATGTTATAAACCTCGAAGAACTCTTGGACAAAATGCTGCAGCAAAGACAGGCGAGACAAACGGGCATCTGCCCTGTCCGCTGGGAGCTCTACTCCCAGTGTTTTGGTAAGGAGGCGGCTGAGATGTTGGTGATCACTGATATCACATGAAGATACATTCAAAAAAAAGCACTAAGTTACCCAAAGGACCTGTATATCGATTTTTGAGCTCTACATGGCTATATTTGTATCTTCATTACGCACATTTTCACTTGCACAAACTCAGTCTAATCTTCCCAGTTTTCTGTTTGTTTCAAGATGAGCTAATCAGACAGGTAACCATCAACTGTGCTGAGAGGGGTATGCTGCTGTTGCGGGTTAGAGACCAGATCCAAATGACTATTGCTGCCTACCAGACACTGTATGAAAGCAGTGTGGCTTTCCGCATAAGGAAAGCACTGCAGGCTGAAGAAGGCAAGGTGGACATGGAAAAAAGAGTGAGGACATGGAGTTACTCATGTTTTTTTGTGATGTCTTGCAAAAACCAACAGAACACAGCAGCACAACAACGTGCACTTGACAATTAACAAGAGATTTAAAGAGCCACCCGTTTAAAGCTATGGCATTACAGTTAGACTGTAGTTTGGCTTTCAGTCCAGCAGAGAGCACTGTTTCTTTATTTTACAGTTATTATAAAACAGGAATGGTGGCAGTACTTGCATGAATTGAGTCTGCATCAGAACCAAACTGATAAGTGTATTTTATTACATTCCAAGATTCTGGATCTGGAGGATGACAATAAAGCTCTGAGGAAGAAACTGAATGAACAGAGGACTAAATGTGATGAAGTTGAAAAGAGAGAAGTTGAAAAGCGACAGGTGGAAGAAGAAAAGTATCGTAGGGAAATTCAGCTCCTGCAGAGAACCAACGAGCAGCTCAAGGTAACGTTTTCATACCAGCAAACAAAATTTACATCTTCCTAGATTTTGCACCAACACTAGCTGTGCTGCTTGTCCCAATATTTACTTCACTTATTTGTCTTTCTCTTCAGGTCCAACTGGAAGGGATAATTAGGCCAAAGAAGTAAAAAAAACAAAAAACAAAAGCAAAGTTGCCATTTCCCAGCACAGGATGTTATTACGTTCGCATTTTGTCTTATTTCTAAATGATAAATAAATGAGAACTTGAGTTTAGTTTAGTAAATATTTAATTTTTCTTATCAGCATGGCATGACAAATATACTTCAAACAATTACTGCACATTTCTCTTGAACATCAAGAGAGCTGTACATTTGTAAATGATGAATGAAATGTCATTCAAAAACAGTTCTGGGTTGAAGAAAGTTGAAAAGGCAAGGCAGAGTGATTTCCTTGTGGGAGAGTCGAGGTCACCGTAAGGCATTAAGTGGCCACCTGATTCATTTAACACTCAGTTACCTTTGCACCACTTACCAAGTTGTGATTCAATAAAACAAAGCCTTTTTGGCTAATTTAAATACAGGTCAATGACGTATGTTGTGTTTTGCCAGTCTAGTGCTTTGATCTTTTGGTCTTTTGGCCTTCTGTGGCTGCTGCTGGGGCCTTTCTGTTCTTGTTCTTGTTTTTCACATTGTGCGTTTCGTAATAACGCACGCCAACTTTCTTCGCCTTCATAGCACGGTCCATGGCTCTTCTCTGTAGAAATGGATAAAAAGAAAGAGAATAAATTCAAATCTTAAGAAAGACCAGAGCTTTTGTTTTTTTTTTTGGTTTTTTTATCTACACTGCTGTTACATCAGTTAGAAGAAATGGCATTCGTCTAATGTGCTGACCAAGACAGATTGGCCTGTTTGACGTCAGTGAGAACAAACATTGCATACCTGTTTAGATGTCAGTCTGTCAGCCTGGTTGGACTCCTCATCAGCTTTTCTCTTCTTGCCCCTCTGATTTACAGCTGAATTCAAAAAAGAAGATTTATCAACTCTGATACCAGTTGCCTGAATGTCAACCTGACCCAGCCATACAAACACAAATACAAACAGGCCTTTAATCGGCAAAATATCATTCAATCAGTAATTGATTATCTGCTTTTTTTTGTTCCGTGGGAGTGTGGAAGATTTTTTTTTTGGACCTTAACCACATCTGATAGACTTCCCTGAATGTTTTCTACATTCAGCACCATACAAAGTAACGACAAACATGTTGATTGACTACCTTTCATTTGTGCTTGTTTCGCCGCCGCTGCTGCTTGTTTAGTCTTGATGTCTGTGAACACTTTGTCAGAAAGCGCCTTAGGTATCCTGTCCAAAGAGAAGAAAAAGAAAAGTAAATTGTTACCTACCAAAGCAAACAGTTTACTCCTGTTGGGATATGCTGAAATGAACACTAATCAGATTAGGCTTAGTGGAACTATACAACTGTTATTTGACTTTGTTCTTCGGTGTGTGTTGAAATCCAACAAGGGGAAATGCAGATTAAAGAACACAATGACGCAAAAGTTATGCAAACAGGTCACTGATGAGACGGTCAAAATGATGACTGCTAGTCCTCAGTGGCTTAAAGGCTGATTAGCACGGACCACCTAAAATGCATGGCATCTCTGCTTGACAACTTCACATTACTTTATTGAATAAAACAAAATAAGGGAAACACACACAAGACAAAGAAAGTATGGAATTGAGGTCTGGGAAAGAGCCAACTGACCGGATTGCAGAGAAGCGCTTGGATTTGGCTCGGTCCAAGAACTGCTTGTACTTGGCGATCTTCTCGTCCAGCTCGCGTATGACCTCCCGTGAACTCTTGTTGCCTTTTGCCTTGTCATTCTGAGAGGTTGTAGGCTCGGCGTCCTCGCTGTCTCCGTCTGCTGGTGTAGCGCTGGCCCCATCTTCCTCGCCGTCCTCGTCTTCCTCGCACTCTTCCTCGCCGTCAGAGCCGGAAAGGTCAGACATGTCCAGGTCTGGCATCTCCACGGGAACCAAGTCTTCCTCGCTGAACTCAGGCGCCACGTTGATTTTGCCGAAGTTCTGTCGGACATTTGCCAGAATCTTCTTGACCTGCTCCTTCTCTCTCTGCTGCTGCTGCTGCTTCTGCTCCTCATGTGTCTCTGTGATGGCGTCTGGGTTGTCTGGCTGTTCCTCTTGCGCATTCTCCAGAACCTCTGATGGTCCTTCAACTGGCAACAGCTTCTGGTCCTACAGAATTTAAAATACCACACAGAGTACACAAGTTGATGGAAAAAAAAAAAAAAAAGTCATGTAGTGAAAAAGCCAAGGTGAAAAATTCAGTATACTCCTACCTCTTCATCTCCTTCAGGTCCAGGAGGTTTTACAAAGAAGGGGATGCGTCCTCTTTGCCAGTCATTCAACACCATTTTAGAGACTGTGGAAAGATCTGGCTCACCCCCCTGTACAAAAGCAAGAATACACTGTTCAAGCTGTTTATGCACACTTGACTGTTTCAGTGAATGCTGTCAAGAGAGTACAGAACATAATGTACATAAGCAGAAAACAGATCAGACGTATTACTCTCGCACGTTCAAAAAGCAGACGAACCAAACAGCCTGGCATGAGTTTAAAGCATCAGTATAAAAACAAGACAAGATTAAATTTAAAATGACTGCTCAGTCTGATGATAAAGTTTTGTTTTATGACCACATTTTCATGTAAAACGTATAGATTTTCATATAAATGATTGAAACAGAATAACGCTAAATGCAAAGCAGTTGCCAGTAACCCATGCTCAAGTCCTCTAAGTACAGAAATGAAAGAGGAACCTTTAGAAGTTTCCCAGTGCGAAAAGCCAGCTTCTCAAGAAAGTCTTCAGCAGATTTCCAAGTAGGGATGCGGTAAGTTTTCTGAATATATTCTGGCTTGGCACGCTCGAGCACCGCCCCAATGTGCTCCTCTGGATTCTTGATCTTCTCCACTTGAACCTTAGGGAGGAAAGAAAAAGGTAAGAGATTTAAGATATGAACCTGCAACCTTTCAGTTACGGGGACTGTGTGGTCTACATGCGAACCCTCTGATCCCCAAAAAGGATCAGAACTGCAGCTGATCAAGACCTTTTTAAACAGCCAGGTATTATTATTATGACGCCCGATCCACCTTGAAGTCTGTTCATCGCACTCCATTTACTCTGGACTGATGAAATAGCACGCTGACAGATGGCGGATTACCCTCAGTTAATGGGACACTGTTTCTATGAGTTGTGTTTGAGTTTTTCAGACCGTGTGAGGAGCACAAACAATTTAACCCTCTTTGTCGTATTTGGGTGTCAGCAGGAGCTAACAAGGCAGATCTCACAAAACTGCGATACAAAACACTTTGAACCAAGCATAATGTGAAAGACTTACCACTCCTTTTAATACAATATCAGATTCGCTGTCTTCTGACGGGTAGACGACACCGGGGCAGTCGATGAGAAAGATGCGCCTCATCAACGTGATGTACTGCCACACCTAGAAAGGCCACAAGGTTAATTCTGTATGAATGGTCAAAGCACTTCAGGTTCACACTACATGAGACACTTTTTTTTACCTTGTTGATATTTTATAATGTTAAAATCAACAAATGTGATCGGGGAAGCAAAATATGAAACGACTACGTGGAACTTGTTCAACAACTGTAATAACTGTGTCATAACACAGCTAATTTTTCCCTCTATGACTGGTTCATCAACTAGAGGGATTTTATTGTATCTTTCCACATAAACAAATACCACTATTTAAAAAAAAAAAGAGAGGAATGAGAGTCACCGTAGTGCTGCGGCTCATGAGGTTGTTTGGCTTTCACTGCTGTCGGGTATGTGGTGAGAATCAAAGACAAGGTAGGAAATAAAGGAGTGCTGGCCACAGGCCCATCAGATTCATTGGATAGGTGTGCAAAAAATCTCCCCTCTGTTGCGGTCCAAGTTCACAGCTTTGGCAAGCCAGGAAAAGTCAAGATATTTTCCCTTGCTTTCCCCTTGACCCTTCTTTGGACATTGGGGGCTTCAGACCCTTGTTCGCTTCCAAACAGGATAAGCAGCCCAAGAGAGAGGAAATTAAGGATAAAAAAGGTTGTTGTTCTTTCTCTTGGCCCGGTCTTCACTTAGATTTTCAGTTATACAGCTAAGAACACAGAGCTGACTACTTCTGTTGTTCCAGCTATCAACAATTACCGAATTAAGCAGCAAGTAACATGCATCTTTTCACCTCACATCACCTCCCCGCTGAACCGAAGCTCCGTTCACCTCTGCATATAAAATATAAACCACAGAGTAACCACAAGTTGGGCAACAATAATAAAAAATTCAAAATCAGTCAAGAAACTGTAGGTTCTCGTGGTCTGTTTTACTCATTCGAAGACTTTTCGTCGCGTCTGTTGCTTTCTGGCACACAACAGGTTTACATACAGTTTGTGAAGGAGAGATGACATTACCTTTGTTTCTCCGGCGAGGGGGGCCACGTTGCAGACCTTCTTAGACCGCAGAGTGTTGATGACTGAGCTCTTTCCCACATTTGGATAGCCAATAAAACCCACACTTATCTGCTTTTTGTCTGTGTGGAGCTGTGGGAGGCAAAAAAAATAAAAAATAAAAAATAAAAGTCAGAGTGTTGTGTTTCCTAAACATTGTTTCCTCATTTCAGTGAGGTCATTTTAGATGGGTTTCTGTTCTCATCAGTATTATTTGAACTTGTCATCACCCCAGAACTGCAAAAAAAAATATATATATATCCTCAAAAGGTCCTTCTTTTTTGGCTAACAGTGTAGAGAATCAAAGAGCTTTAAAAACCTTTTAAAACAAATCCATGTCTCAATTTAATGACCTTGCAAACCTTTTACTACATAAGAGTGCGTGATAAGGTCTGAAAGTAGGCAACACAGACAAAACCTTGTACCAACGTAAACGTAATGTTAAGCTTTGTTATAGTTATTTATTATAATGCAATTTAGGTTTTGGAAATATGATTACGGAATTGTTTGACTACAGATATACACACTGTCTTTAGACTAATAATTAAACAGATGATAAATCAAGCAATATTATCATTAGTTTAATTTATATATCATATTGATATCTGTAATTCTGATATTACCACAAAGACCTGCTCAATGAATACCAGCATTGTCCATATTGGCCTAACAAAAGCATTGATATTAAATTAATAGCTGTGCTTTGACACAGATGTCGATTTCTACCAAAATTGAGACATAATCATGTATATTTAAAAAAATAAAATATAAACCTGATTGCGTTTGTGTTCATATCAAACTAGAAAATGAAAAAACTCATATTAATGAAGGCCTGCGATTGCTCTGGTCTTGTATATTAGAACAAACAAACTCAAACAAATTAATAACATGGTATAAACTATGTCTTCATACTACAACTACAATACGGGGCTAGAATATCCAAGCTTGAAAGGTGAAGTCCGCAATGTTGGCCAAATGTTGTTTATAAATGTTGTTTATTATTTACTTAGCAAATTTAAATAGCTAGCATGTTTGACATTTATCAAAAGTTGTTGGACAAGCATCGCATAGTGCACCTTTAAACTAGAAGTCGAGTAATAGCTCTGCTGCAGATTAATATTACTTCCAAAAACTGGACAAATAGGTTAATTCTGTGCCACTTCTGCTTGTTACCGGATCATTAAGTGGCTCAGGCTCATGACAAATCAAAGAGATGTTAAATCTGAGGCACTTGCTTACCTTGCCAAACTGCCTGAGCAGCTGGATGAGGGAGCCCTTACCAAACGAGTTGGTGAGGCTGGCGTGGAAAGCCAGAGTCGGGTATTCTTGGGACAGAACAGCTACCCAACGTTTCTGGTTTGAGATTGAGCAGAGACAAAAAGACAGCCGCACAACTTAATAATATGAAACAACAGACAATCATTCCCAGACAAAATGGTAAAGTAAGGATGACGGCTGTAACCATCTTACCGTCACCCAGGTAGGGATGAGGTCACACTTGTTCAAAACAAAGATCAGATGTTTCCAAGGTTTCTCTTTCTTCATATATGTCTCGATGCTCTTGGAGCGCGTTCCCATGGGATCACGTGCATCCAGCACTTGGATTATGACATCAGATGAGTCAATCACCTATTACAATAAAAAAAAAAAAGGAATGTGGAATGATCACACAACACTTCAGTGCATCATATCTACATTAACAGAACGCACAATATTTAGAGCAGCATGGAGATGATACCTTGTAAAGTTCTCCCCAGATCCTCTTTGACTGACCCTTTTTGAAAATCTCCTCGCGTACTTCATCCCTGTTGCAAATTTAGATAGTAAAAGCAATTTACTCTCATCTTCTAAAAACAAAAACTCAGCAACTCTGCTCCTGACGACATACATTTAGTGTGTATTAATATAGCATCTAGTGAGAATCTTACCGGACCCCTGTGTCCTCGGTAACCAGGTTTTTGTCCTTGTCTGCATCGTAGCTCAGGGCCGAGGCCTCAGCTTGCTCCACGAGGTCCTTTACATCCCCCACCATGAGACTGGGCCTCTTCCTTTGGGCCTTGGGTCCAAACGTGGTCTCGAATCCCTCCGTGTCTAGAATGTGCACCTTAGAGTTCTGCAGTTGCGAAAAGACAAAACTTTTTAACTGCTTTGACTGTGACAGTAACCCACAAGAGCGCACCAGTAGATATTTATGTTTTTAACAAAGTTGTTGTATTGTCTACTTGATGTTTTCCTACTGAATAAAGCTGCACAGTGCATATAACTTAAAAGTAACCGCAGCTCTTTGATTGGCCGCTTAAGGTTGATTTCAAAATCAGGTCAATCCCTATAGACTGCCCTGTTAAAAGGCCCAACTTTACAGCATTGATAAACGAGTTTACAGTCTGTGACAAAGAACACTTGTGGTCTCTATAGCTAACGTCCATGTTCATTACAACTTTACAGGAGTTTAATTTTTGTACAACTCACCCAATGTGTTAAGTCTTATTAAGTTATTCGGGCATCTATATTTTGAACAACATGCTTTGGTTTTGAAACAAATGGATGACACGAAAGCCTTTTTTTTCTCCTTTGTTACAACCAATTTTGATGCAGCCACAGTGGCACAGCCCGTTTAAGAATTTAAGAAAAAAAAACAAAAACCCAGAGCAACTGCAAACAGTAAACAGAGCACCCAAGTATGCTACGACAAAGCCAGTGTAACAGCAGAGATTGTGCCAGTGCTGATTAAGTGTTCCAGTGATCTTAAAACGCGAGCCATACTCGTGTTGCAACACCACCGCGAGGAGATGGAGGCAGGTTACAGGGTTTGTCAGAAAACACGCAGTTTATAGCTTCAGGTTGCCTGGACTATCTGCCAAAGTCTTCAGCAAAGCTCTCTGGTTCTTTCAAAACACATTTCCCAACTGAACAACAAACCGTTCCGCTTAGTTTTTGGAGGATAAATCCACTGGTCAATCAACTGTTTTAGACATTTGGCTTCAAAATCCTCTAATGGTGCACACTGGATTCAAGTCAACTGACATATTAGACCAGGTTACAGTCCTTCAGAAATTCTTGCGTGATTTTGTCCGTGTGCTTTGGAATCATTACCATGTTGGAATATTCCTCCTCTGCTAAGCTTCTGGAGACTGGAAATCATCTTGTCAGCCAGTATTTTGAAGACATGATTGATACCATCTATAAACCATTTATAAATGTCACATCCCAAACAACTTTTGTGGTCATGCAGGCCAGTATCATCACACTTCCACCTCCGTTCTACACTGTCAAGACTATGAATTCCCTGTGGTAGTCGTGGCTGATCAAACCAAAAACCAATCTACCTTGGTCTCATCTGACCAAGCAATGTGTTCCCAACATTCATTCTTTTCATTTGCTTCACCAGAGTTTTGTCTTACTGTTATGTTACCAACAGCAAGTATTTTTCCTCAACCCAATCACAAGAGGTGGACGTTATATAATGTCCTTCTCAGTGACTAAGTTGTCACAGAAACTTTGATTTCCATTGATGACCCCTATGCCACATATGAAGCACTTGCCTGTAAACAGTCACTAGTCAGCGCTGTCGTTTTAGAAGCACAACCACTGCTCTGATTCGTGGTAGTGTGGCTCTTTCCTCCTGATTACTGCTGCAACTGTGTTTTGATAGACTTTTTGACAGATTTTCTTGTATCCGTTTCCACATTTGTAAAGTATCACCATCCATCCATACATCCATCCATTATCTATACACCGCTTAATCCTCACTAGGGTCGCAAAGGGGCTGGAGTCTATCTCAGCTGACTCAGGGTGAAGGCAGGGGACACCCTGGACAGGTCACCAGTCTATCACAGGGCTACACTTAGAGACAGACAACCAAGCACACTCACATTCACACCTACGGACAATTTAGAATCACCAATTAATCTCAACATGTTTTTGGACTGTGTGGGAGGAACATGCAAACTCCACGCAGAAAGATCTCGGGTGTCCTCACCGAGACGCGAACCGGCGACCTTCTTGCTGCGAGGCTACAGTGCTAACCACTGAGCCACCTTGCAGCCCAAAGTATCACCAATCAGGTATTTTTAAATTGCTCTAGTAAAATATTTTTCATATGGAGCCTTGATCCAGACAGACAAACAGGCATAGGTCAGAACAGTTCTAAAGTTCACAAGTCATTTTAAAACAATGTTGACTCAGTTATGATAATTAAAAAACACAAGTGTACTCAATTTTGTTTCAATAATTACAGGTTTTCCAACTTGTGTCTCAATGATCAGTGGTTTTCACATTTATTCTTCAATGCAGTCTTTCTAACAAAAAATCTTTTGATTGTTTACAGATGGAAATATTTACTTGTCAACTTAGAAATAATTGAATTGACAGGTGGTGCAATTTGAATCATTTGACATCTAACTGATCCTGCACAGGGGTGTACTATCCTCTATTGGAATTTCACGAGGGGCTACAGCACATGGCATAAGAACAAGAAGAACTAGATGTTATCTTATTTGGAACTGTGTTGGTTATGGAGTGGAAATGTTATTGCTTGGCAATAGGCAACTCACTCATTTCAAGTGCAATGTCAACTCATGTTTACTGTGGGGCAGAGCGAGAAATGAAAGAGGTGTAAAGTGAGTCCTCACGTTAATCAGATAAGAGAAAGAAAGACAGAGCAGTGATCCTCATCTACATTGTTTGATGTAAACCAGGTACAAATGTAAAAAAAAAAAAAGCTTTGTATGCCGGTAAACTTGCGTTAATTTCCACAAACAATGCACATAACCCCTTCAGAACCTTTCTGGTCTCACATCATCCATCAAACAAACAGCAAAGGACAAAAAACATGGTTTTTCTTTTATAGTACAAGAGGTTAATAGCATTTATACTCACATGGGCTTTGACTCGATCATGCAAGAGGGACATAGGCAGTTTGCTTTGTCTCATCACCACACGATATGGATCCTTCTGAACTGCTCCCATCTCTTCCTGGAACTTCTGCAGGGATGACTGCTTGATCACGCGTGTATTTGCTGAAGTACAGAAGATGTAGGTTGCAAATTGAGACCTGGCAATCTTAGATATCCTTTCACTGATAACACGCCTGTCTTGTGAGTTTTCTAATATCTCCTCTCCTCCACTGATGACTTAAAATGGGGTGCTCAACTGTGTTAACTTCAGTCATAAGGTCTTCCTTCTTTCAGCACAGAAAACAAAAGCATTGAGGTGAATGTCTCCAGTTAACCGGCTATTTAACTGATTAAAACAATAATACTCTGACTGTTCTTTAGAGCTGTCATTTGCATTTACAATTTGCAGCCATGGCTGAGTGGATTGTTCAGTGATTGCAACCCTCCATGTGCCAAAGCATCCTCGGGCAAGACACTGAAGCCCAAGTTGCTGCACAGGGCAGGCGAGCACCTTGCATGGCAACTCAGCCACCACTAGTGTGTGAGTGTGAATGTGTGAAAGCAAACACAATGCAAAACCCTTGGTAGGATCTACCTAGGGTTAAACGACGATGCATAACTGCAGATCATTTACATGTGTTAAAGCATTTTAAACTATTTTTGTATCATCTTGCTAAACACCACAATGAACTTAAAATATTAATAATATCACTGAACTGTAGTAATCCACTTTGGTAAGACCAACACAGCCACTTTGACAGCATACATTGTTATAACACAGACAACAGTGGGGTAAAATACTTACCAAACCATTTGATGTTAGGCTCCACTCTGGCCTGAGTCCCTGGAGCTACTGTGGACTGGTACTGTAGCGGTTTGATGACTTTTCCACGGCTATTACTGGAGACAAAAGATCAGTGTCATTATTATTATCCTTATAATAACATTCCATCGGATTTTCCAATCAGTGTCTCTTGAAATGAATGCAAATCTTGATTGTAAATTACCATCTCTGCTTTTGTCTGTACATATTCAGACGCTTGATAGTGGCTCGGTCCCTCATGTTGTTCCCACCAGCACCTTTGGCTCGATCTGTGAAATGCACGCACAGTCACTTGAATGATTCGTCAACAAAGGACATCTGCTATCACAAAACACTCAGTTGACAATTTATTAGGTAAACCTATTCATTATTTATCCAGGTGAACACTACAGCTTAGCTATGAAATCTATATTTATCAATCAATCTGTTTTTTTGTTTTCTTGTTTGTTTTTTGGTATATTGTTAAAAGTGCTTTAAACGAGGGCTGATTGAATGTTTGAATTTCATGGTAGTTACGGAGTCTGTATAGTGCTGTTGAGGTATATTTCAGCTATACTGAGAAGCATTTCTAGTATGATAACTTTAAAATAGTGTTGGTAATGGTATCACCTCTATCAAAGTTCAATTCGATTTGCAACCATATGGACTGAGGCCACATTAGCCAGGAATATGCAATAAGCTGAGCAGCTGAGTGTACATTTATTTTCAGGAACATCAAATTCTTGCTGAGAAGTCTTTCGACCAATTAATAATAGCAGCAGTTTCTAGACTTGAAGGCAAATGAACTTGACTTCAACGAAACAGTATTTTTATTCCCCATAAGTTGAATATATCAGGTTCAAAACGCCACATCTGGCAGCTACTTTGCATTGTAGCAGCAGCTGAAGTTAACACTGAATTAACTCGTTGTGCGTTCATTGACTCATTTAGACACGCAGCACATGTAATAATAATAATCACCACTTTGATTTAACGACAGAAAATAACCCAGAAATCCGTTTCCCACACCGGCTAGCAACAATTAGCATTAGGTGTAAACAAACGCTATAGCTAATGGGAGATTAGCTCACCGGGGTTGCTGCTGGACGACGAGGGGTTTATCGAGCTTTTCCCCTTAAACTTAGGCTTCACCATGTTGACCACTTAGTCGGCAAAGCCGTTCACAGACAAAAAAAAATGTTAAAGACCACGCTGAGGTGGGCAAAAGCTGAAGTTTGATGCTGTTGCTCTCTTCAGCTCGACACTTTACACCCTACACGTGTTCCTATGGCGAAGCCGGAAGGACGTCATCGGACGAGCGACAGCGAGAACAACCAATCAGAGAGCTCCGTGGCTGCACGCGCACTGAACCCGTCGGTGGAGTGTATTGTAATTGATATGGATGTCATCATGACTTATTGTGAACTCATTTAAAAACTTTTTCATTTATGTTGTGCGAAAGCGTCAAGCTTTTATTTTGAAAATGATCTATACATATTTATAGATGACCAATTATGTAAAAGTAGTGTTATATAGATATATGTCAAATCAAACAGCTTTTACAATAAAATCCAGACAAGTTGGGGAGGAAAGTATATCTAGACTTAAATTAAAACTCTGTCGTTATCCTGCATTGTTATGCTCTATTTATTCCAGAAGAGGGTGCAAAATAGTTTGTGTTAGGACAGTGGTACATGTCAACATGTCCCTGCTCTGCTCTGCCATGCTGACTGCAGCCTTGGTTTTCTGGGTGGCTGCTGTATGTAATTTGAACTGAATAATGAATGTCACAGGGTGCATAGCAATTAATAAACTGGGCTGGGTCACAAATTTTAGAATACTGAGGTGAAAAGTCCAATGACACAAAATGTTTTTAGTTCTAGTTTCTAACGTTTTATTTGTTCAGTTGATTGAAACAACAAGAAGATCTAAATGGTGATTCACAGCCTTCTTTCCTATATTCCATATCCCTATTTGTGCTAAATGTACAGATGGTTATGGAGCCTTCCTATGAAATGCAAATAGTCCAGCAAATACACATTGCTAACATTAAACAGGCATAGATAGTTTAACGCTGTGATATATTCTTTTTATGCCTGCAGGCAATTTGCAAAAGAAAAAAAAAACTAATAGGACAATCTATACTTTTCTCACCCAGTCTTCAGCAGGCCTATTTAACACCAGAATACACACCAGAGTATGTATATTAAAGTTTGCCTGGTTGTTATGATGCTTTCTTTACAGTGTATACGGTACGTTACACAAGTGTGGCTCATTGCCAAGGTAGGCAAGTTCGTAGAGACTCCGGCCTGGAGAGGCGCCATCCAGTATTCAGTTTATACAGCAGGGAGACTGAGGAATGTTCTCTGTTCATTTTCATAGACATGAAATTGGAACTGACTGCATTAGTAATCCATTGCAATAAATGATCTTTTACCAATATAGTGTTTTGGGTTTTTTTATCCTCTTTAAACTGGAATATAAGGAGAAGAATATGCTTTTTATTTTCATTTCATTCAATCTAAACAATTCTTCCACTTTAACATTTACATCTGCAATAGACATGTTCTTCCAGCACAGTCGATCTATGCAGACAGGAGAGAAACATATGTTGTCAAGTTCTGTTTTATTTGAAGCCTGCTTCATTTAAACCCAGCTGTTATGGTTGTATATGAACAGTTGTTGTGGTCCCTTCAAAGCTCTTATTGTCTTTTCCTTTGCAATTGGACAGTTTTCAGTGTCTTTACTAAACACAACCGTCTAGTTTGGCAAACCATTCACAGCACTCAGTGTTAAGAACACTGACTGTGCCCTAAACGGCACTGACCTACGATGATCAGCTGTTTCCTTTACATGTCTTTAGCATGTAATAAATCCTCCTTTCCATGTAATGTCTTAAAACACAACACATCGTCACGAGAACCTGTTTAAAACCCTTATATTCAATGATGACTGCATTATGCCATTGCAAAAGACTGTAATACGACTACTGTTATTACAACTACTGCAAATAATATTTATAATAATAATAAAAACCATTGTTTATACAGAATTTTTCCTAATAGCTACAAAGTGCTTACCAGAAAGACAAATAATAAAAAAAATCTACAAAAATAAATAAAAAATATACAACAATAATAAAACCAGTCAGCGAACATAAAAACATGAAGCAAAGATCGTAAAAACCATCAGATTCTGCAACAGAAGAGGAAAAAGGGGGAAATAAAACACAGCCATTTATCAAACATTTCATAAAGTACTTCCCATAAAAGAATGTTTTCATAAGAGATTTAAAAGACACTAATCATGATGATATTTTGATCTCAGTCGGCAGACTGTTCCAAAGTTTGGGCGCCCTAACAGCGACGGCCTGGTCACCCTTGTTCGCTAGCCAGGACTTGTCAATAACCAGCCGAGTTTCATTTACCAAAGATGATATTTTTTGTTCCCTTAAAAAAAATAAAAAATAGCTTCTCCTCATAAAAATCCACTACCAGTTAAGCACTTTAATAAAAAGAGGCACTAAACACAGTTTAAGCTATATACTCTGAGCTATCTGTCATCTGAATGAACGGAGAGTATATTTCCTCTGTCCTCACATCTGTATTCAGCGGTTGTACATTTTACAGCTGCTAAACCAACAGGTTGGCTGAACTTCATGTGACCTTCTCCGTGCGATTTGCATGAAAATGTCTAGTTTAGTTCAGCGAGGCACTACCACCGCAAAGAAAACCAACTGATTGGGCAAGCACTAATCAAACTATGCATGCAGAAAAATCAACCGGACAAGGACCGACCATCCATCTTTCCATCGAGACAGACTTACCACAATTTATGAGCAGGAGGAAAAACAGTAGACCTATGCAAGGTTTACAAGCAATTTTAAGCCAATAAAACCTATGGCAGGGTGCATGAAGCAGAAAGAGAAGTCTAACTGGGTTTGCTTGCCATAAAGTAGAAAATCCAGTAATTTTAGCAACAATATATCAGCCAATTATTACCTCTGTGCAACCTAAGTTTATTTATAGTTTATTAGCCATTTGTCCTTTTGTCTCTTTTTCATATAGATGCAAAAAGCAGCTGCAAATTAAACCAAGAGAACAGCAGATTTCGGGAGAAATTATATTACAGCTAACAATAAAACCACATTTTATCGACCCATATAACAGAAAAAAAATGTTGAGAACAACGGTGGTGTGAGAACACTTGGCACATGACATAAAAATCGGCCGTGCACTTTTTGGTCTTCCAGCTGTGAAGCATGGCAGGTAAAGCTTGTCTATTTCTGTCTAATGCTATGGAGAGCCAACCACTGGAAGTCACAGCATCGATCTTTACGGCAGATATTCAATCAGCCAAAAGTTTGCAACTGACAATCCTGGAGTTATACGGATAGGAGCGTCAGCAGTTAACACTAGAACACCTGTGTTTAATAACAGTACGACCGAGCCTTTCACAGATTGATACCTCAGCTCCAGCATGTGTGTTACAGATTTCATGTTTACAGCTACAGAGGTTCGTTCCAAAATGAAGTAAATGATGAGATGACCACTGGAAAAAAAAAAAACTGACACACGATTTCAAAGTGAGTAATGGTATATAAAGCATCAAAAGGAGAGGAGATGTTTTTGAAACAGGGAATAGGAATGGATTAACATCTGCCGCTTTTGATTTATTAAAAGATTTGCTCACAAACATAAGTAAGATCGTTCCAGCAAATAGGTTCCATAAGAATTTGGAGAAAAGAATAACATACATGCTTCAAAGGGATTTCTTTAATGGAAAACTGTGAAAATCTAACAAGCCTACAACAGGAACAACTTTACAGCAAGTTGTAAAACCACAGCAACCAAAAAGCACACAATTTCATCACAAACAATACAATTAAGCTATTACTTCCTCACTGTTGCTCCCCAAGGCTATAATATGCTGTGGCAGGAATTACAAACAGTTGCTTAAAAAAACCACTGCACCCCCATATACCCCTTTTGCTTGGTGAGAAACACCAGATGGATTTCAGTGGGTAAATTTATGCAATTTTAAAAAAAAAAATCTATAATACACAGTGAGACAGAAATCAGTTAAATGGGGTTAGTGTGACAGATGCAGCTTCACAACTCATCGGCAGTGGATTGAAGCTCTCCCTAACTGCTCATGTGAATGTGTGCATTTGTGGATAATATTTCAGCCCGGCTCACTTGCTGAGTCTCTGCTTTGAGTCAAAATTGGAACACCAGCTAGATGACGGAGCGCAGACTCCGGTGGGCCTGACTAAACAAAAAGAGAAAAATTGACAAAGGCCTAAAGGGCGCTCCTCCTCATAGCCCTCGCTGTTGAGAGTGTTTGCAGGAGAAAGTTGACGTTTCTGCTGAGAGCGTTTCACGGCTTAAATGGAGGGCTACTGAAGTGCCGAATGCTGACGCTGCGGTGTCAGTAGCCACCCATGCATTCTGTATTTAGACGGGAGTCAGTGCTGCAAAAAGGGTGCGATAACGCAAAAACACTTTATGGTTTCATAAGTGTCATCATAAGATTAAGCAGATGTGATGTTCATTCTTATCATTAATCATCATCATCATCAAAAATAGCAAAGAAACTCATTATATACAATAAAACTGTGTGTCAGCATGCTAATTAGAACCAAACACACAGTACCACAGAGGTCGATGGAAATGCATTCGTTTTGCAAGTATATAGTCATAAACAAAAGCACAAAATTGCGGGGCTAAAATTTAAAGTGTGGCGAAGAGTATCTATGCCAAACCATACGACTTGGAGGTGTAGCATGAATAATTTCCCTGCTTTTGATTACTTACAGTCCCTAAATTTAGCTACAGAAGACATTTTGAAATATTAAGATCCTGATTATAAATTTTTTCTCAAGAGCAAAAGCACTCTTGCTAAGAGCGCTTGTCTTCATATAACACCCGCACCTCATTTATATAGAGACACTATTGCCAGTTTTAAAAGATTTGAATAGCAAAATAGGGAATAATGAGAAGAGAACACCATGAATCATGAGACAAATGAAAACCCAATGTTGGAAAAACCCAGCTGGAGATGAGGTGATGGAATATGTTGTTTTTCAACAGAATGTGTTTCACTAATGCGTAATATCTTCTCTGTTTATTTTAAACAAACCTAAATCTTCTACTTATTGAGTTCACAGCTTGTCGTGGCCACAAGTTTCACACCGCATAAATCATAGCATAATCTGTTGGCAGGGACCTTCGGGAGGCGCTCACGCAGCCCTTTAATGAATGGTGTTTATGAGTGCTAATCTGTGGCATGTAAACCACCA